CCGTGTGGCTAACCACATACAAGACTTACCCTTAGTCCTTTGAGTGCTAAACCTACATCTCAAGATAGGGCCGGCCTTCCCATCAAATGGTCTAATCGCTGCACACTTGCTGTAAACTCCACAAATACTCGGAACAACACGCAATCGCTGCACACTCGCCGTAAACTCCACAAATACTCGGTACAACACACAAACGCATCCGGACCGAAGTCAAGAGCGCATACTAACCCTTGGCTACAAGGATTTGAAGTTCCGCATCGAGAAACTCTCTGGTTGCACCCCTGCCCTAATGCCAACCCTGCAAAATTACACCACTAATTTAATATAATGAAAATTTAAGAGTAAATATATTTATCAAATTAGTTGAAATTGACAATTACCAATTAGTATTAGGTACTCCTGGAGTACCTAGTATTGTACTCTATGGCCCAGCCCAATCTAATAAATGGGATAAAAACCCAGTTAATGAAATTAAAGCATATAAGGCTAAATTTGACAAAATAACAACTTAGGAAAAGCAAATAACATGAAACTAACTCCATATACTTGTAAAGGTGGATGAAAAAATATCAAATCATTTCATTTCTTCTCCACTATCTTCACTTTCTCTCTCCATTTGAACTAGTCCTGCAAATTTCTTGTCCATTAAATCAGCAAGATCATGTCCAAAAACAACATAAATTATCGAAATGCATATCAAGGGAAGTAAGTATTTGTTTAATTATTTAAAAAGTATTTTGCAATTGTACAATTATAACATGAAATTTGCAATTAAGACAAGCAAGTATGGAAAACCAATTAAATGATAATGAAAAACTAGATGAAATTGTATATTTAAAAACAAAAATTATAGATAAGTTCTTGTTATTTTGATCAATTTTGTTTCTAGGCTTATGTTATTCAGCATTGTATATTATGTTATTTTGATTGTGAAGTCGGATCTATATTTCTAAAATGTGTTTTAATTTGTTACTGTCATTCTTTAAAATGATTTTATTTTGCTCAATATATAATGTTATTCTACTTGAAATCTAATGTTATTTTGGGTTGATCATCATGTGTTGTTTTAGTCTTTGAAAGTAGATTTGTTTTGACGGAATTATTTAACGCTCTTCTAAAACATAATTTTTTAATTTTGTTTCATAATTTAAATTATATATTTTGTTTTAAGCGTAATGTTATTTTATTTTTATCACGTGTTATTTTAACGAAATCCTAACTTTGTGTTGTTTTGTTATTTTAATGTATCCTTTATTATTCTACTTAACCTTTGAGTTAAGTTGTTATTTTTTTTAATATCTTATGTTATTTTCAATAGAAGTTTAAGTTATTCAGTTATCAAGTTATGTGTTATTTTAGGTCGAACTTTGAGTTACTTCATACACAAATTGATGTTATTCTATTTAAAGTCTATTGTTATTTTGTTTTAAACATGTGATATATTCAAATAAATCGTATCTTCTGTTATTCTATTTTAAATTAGTGACGTTTTTAATTTTCAGAAATTACAATTGGAATAAAAAATTGATTGGATTCACAAAAATTAAAAGAAAATAGAGGAAAAAAAGAATAGCATGAAGAAAAAGAGGAAAACAAGGGAGAAGAAATTCACAGAAATTGAAAGAAAATACAGGAAACAAAGTATAGCGGAAGAAAAAGGGGAAAACAGAGAAGAAGGAAGGGATAACAGAACGATGTCGTTTGACCCTAGAGTATCATGCTCACGATACTCCAGGAGTAGGGTAGATATTGCGCATTATCTCTATTAATTATATAATTTAAGCTAAGCAATCAACTGCGTGGTTAGACAAATAATGCATCCACCACCCTTTCTTTTATACTGATTTCGATGATTAATTCAACTCTTTCTATGATGATAAGATTATAACTCAAAATTATTTAGCTTCAATTGATAATATAGAAATCGTGTTTTCCTAATCTTCTTATATTCTAATCAAGGTCAATTTGTTGGTCTACTTAAAAAGTACGAAGTACTTAATTATCATAATTGCAAGTGGACACTAACATATCTGAATTATTTTCAACGCATAAGTCTAATACAAAGTATATTAAATTAATTATTGATTTTGTTTACTAGAGAATCAGACCTTACTTTTACTCAATTGAAATTATGTTTAATTTCATAAGTGAGACGTACAATCTTTAAATTATGATGAAAACTAAACATTGTGCGTTTGTGCATTGGAGTCTTCATTGTCCAAAATTTGGTATCCATCATAAAAAAAATTAAGTGATTATCACATTATCACATTGATTATTGATATTAATTGGACTTTTTTCTAAACATATAGTACCAATTAATAATGCACTCTTATGTACAACTAAGAGTTAAAGATCTTTTAAGGATTATTTCAACACATTGTAGTGCAATTCATTTGGTTTTCTAATTTAGAATGAATATGCCCTAAATAGGTTCACATAGAGCCTTATCGGGTTAGAGATACCCTTTATTTCTTAATTTGATTATGAGAGCCGACTCAACACCTTGCCATGAGCCGTGAGGGTACACATTGAAACAAAGAGCTGATTTTCATTAGCGGTGGTTTGTTGTGACTTGTGAGAGTTAACAACTCATAAGGGATTGCAATTCGGCGCTAAGGGTGTCCATTTGATATTGGGTTTGGATTTAGGTCAGGTTCGATCCAATAATCCGAAATAAAATTTGGTTTTAAACTTTCAAATCCAATCCGATCCAAATTTCTCATCAAATACAATCCAAATTAGAATAAAATTATTTGGATTTGATTCGAAAATCATAATCAAAATACGTTGCAAATTTTAAGAGCCTAGTGTGATTATAAAAATAAAAGGCCAAGTCTTCAAAACATAATTTTACATGATTAAAACAAGTATGGAAAATATATAGTTTTACATGATTAACATTAATGTGATTAAAAACTTAGTTTTACAAGATTAATATAAATCATCTTTATTTGTGAAATCATTGTTTCATTTTTTTGGTTATTTCAGCTTTTTTGGATCCAAACAAGGTCAATCAGATTCCATCTAAAAATCCGATTTTTTACAAAATTTAAATTAATCCGATGCGAATTAATTTGGTTTGAATTGGAATGGATTCGATTTTAATCCAAATAATAATAGACAACCCTACTTGGTGCTCTTCATCAAGAAATGACTAGACTAGACATAATTCCATAACAAATAAGTTCATTGTATAAAATCACCTCCAATATTATTCCAAACAACATTTACGACATAAGTACCGACATATACGCATGTACTCATATAAGAGTAACATATGCAGGTAATTTACAATGATACTAGTACAACTCTTTCTTTCAAAAAAAAAAAAAGTACAACAACATAATCACAAGAAAGTAAAAATGCACAACATGGAAGAAACGTAAAATTCATCGCTTATAACATAAATTCAAATGGAGATGCTAGCAAGCTAAGATTGCCAAGCTAATCAAACAAGCCCGCCTCAATCCTTTGCCTCTGAGCCAGTGTTGAACACGCCCATGCTCAAGCGGGCGATCTGATCACATATTCACATCTACGGTGATCTAGTTATTGCAATCGTACCACAAACCCCAGACATGAGTGGAACAACAGTAATACGTAGACGGAGGCTCAATCCCTCCAAGATTATACGAACAAACTAATCCATCACAACAGTCGCTATTATGATTGCATTGATAACCTCTCAAGGTGCAGTCCCCTGATACCATACTATCTGCAAAATAGCAACCAACACTAATTAATTAGGGTTCATTTTTGCATCACTATGGCCTTGTTTGGCAAATGGTTGTTGGCGGTTGGTTGTTGGCTGGTTCACTTGGCTTGTTTGACCAGCTGGAATGTTTGGCTGTTTATAATGGCTTTTGAATTGACTGTTTAAGCTGGCTATTTATAAAAGTGTTTGGTAAATTAATTGTTGGTTGTTAGCTGTTTATTAGATAATTTGTGGGCCAACAAGCCAAAAGCCAATAAAAAAGCTACTCAAAACAACTTTGTCATTTTGGCTTAAAAGTCAGCTCTTTCGCTGACTAAAAAACCAATTACCAAACACACTTTTTGGCAGTTTGACCACCTAAAAAAGCCAAAAGCCAAAAGCTAACCACCTTTTTCTCGTTTCCTTTTTTGGTTTTTTGAAAACTGATAATAAAAATGTAAAAACACCTTTTTTTTGTTTCCTTTTTTGGTTTTTTGAAAACTGATAATAAAAATGTAAAAACACCTTTTTCTTGTTTCCTTTTTTGGTTTTTTGTTTTCAAAAAAATTGAAAACTAAAAACAGAAAACAATATCAAACAAGCCGTAGTTAACATTATTTTTAACAATATACTAGCTATATTTTACATGATTATTATGAGATTAATACTTCGATCCAGTATATAACTAACCTGATGCCATTAGGATTAACAGGAATCCTAGGATAATTGGCTTCAGATATTTGATTGAATGAGATGCGGCCATTCAATTCTCTTGATTATCAACTGATTACTAGCAAATATAATCTGCCCTTCTTTGGAGGATACTTTACTTAATTAGTAAATGGATCGAATGAATTACTTGGTTGGATAATGCATTAACATCTCCACCATTTATACAATGTCTATGTATGTTATGGTCAGTCAAGTTATTATTGTTTAAGCTAAGCATGCAACTTGCGAAGTATAACTATATTATCATGAATTTATACAATAATCGAACATTAATGACGACGTTAATTACACCAACAGATTGGTCAATTGTGAATAAGCCCAGTATTCTTATACGTTGCTCATAATGGTACTCCATATTAATAAAAATAAATAAAAATGAAAACTCAAGTTATTGATGATTATGGAGTATTCATTATTAATGCACTGTGCTAAGGCATACAATTATTATTTTTTATTTTTTCGATGCAATCCAGGAAATTGTCATTAAACTAAAAGAGTAGCAAAATTAGGGAGGTTTATTTTACCATCCTTAAGCTTGTGCAATGTGGTGTACAAGATTATTTCCAAAGTAATGGCTAACTGCCTCAAGACTATTTTGCCCTCTTTGATCTCTCACCACCAAAGTGCCTTTGTCCCCGGCCGCTTGATCACGGACAATGCAATTATTGCCTTTGAAATATTCCATGCTATGAAAAGAAAAGGGGAGGGTCGAAGAGGTACTATGGCGCTTAAGCTCGATATGAGTAAGGCGTATGACCGTGTTGAGTGGTCTTTTCTGGAACAGGTTATGTACAAGTTCGGATTTGCGGAGGGGTGGGTGCGGAGAATTATGGACTGTTTATGCTCGGTGTCCTACTCTTTTAAGTGGAATGGCAAGGTGTCGGGGTGTGTCTCTCCTGCTCGTGGTCTCCGGCAAGGGGACCCCATCTCCCCCTACCTCTTTCTCATGTGTGCCGAGGCTTTCTCTTCGTTGCTTGTGAAGGCGGCTAATGATAATTTGATTAGTGGTGCGAGGGTGTGTAGAGGAGCTCCGAAAATTTCTCACATATTTTTTGCGGACGATAGTATCCTCTTTGCTAGAGCGACTACCGAGGAGTGCTCCAAAATTGTTTCCATTATTTCAACTTATGAGCGTGCTTCGGGCCAATTGATTAACTTTGACAAGTCGGAGGTCTCCTTTAGCAAGAATGTTAGGGCCGATCGTAGATACGAGATTATTAGTTTGCTCCGGGTCAAGCAAGTTTCGAGACACGAGAAGTACCTTGGTCTTCCCACTATCATTGGCCGATCGAAGAAAGCTGTTTTCTCATGTTTGAAAGAGAGAGAGTGGAAAAAATTACAAGGGTGGAAAGAGAGACTTTTGTCTCAAGCCGGTAAGGAGATTCTAATTAAAGCGGTGGCCCAGGCAATTCCGGTGTATATGATGGGTTTATTTCGAATTCCGGACTGTGTTCTTAACGAAATTAACAGTATGATCGCCAAGTTTTGGTGGGGTTCGAGGGGCTCCGAGCGCAAAATTCATTGGGTGAGTTGGAAAAAATTATGCCTCCCGAAACAACTTGGTGGCATGGGTTTTAGGGATTTGGGGACTTTCAATCAAGCCCTTTTGGCCAAGCAAGGGTGGCGCCTCCTCAACGACTCTAAGTCTCTTGTCTATAGTGTTTTAAAAGCGAGATATTTTAAGAACGGGGAGTTTATTTCGGCGCCTAGAGGATATGATCCTAGTTTTGTTTGGCGCAGCATTTGGGGAGCTAAGTCTCTGCTTGTTGATGGATTGAGATGGAGGGTGGGTGATGGGCGTAGGATAAATGTATGGGAGGAGGGCTGGCTTCCAACTGAGAACACTGCTCGTGCCCCTTCTCCGAATATTGACAGCCCTGACGATTTGATGGTGGCTGATTTAATCGATCATGATCAGGGTTGTTGGGATGTAATAGCTCTTAACCAACACCTTACTGCTCGTGATGCTGCTCTGGCCCAAGGAATTCCTCTGAGTTGCAGATCTATTAGTGACTCTATGTAGTGGTGGCCTTCGAAAGACGGGTGTTACTCAACCAAGTCGGGCTATTGGTTGGGTCAATTAGGCGTTCATAATGATGTGGGGGTATTATTGGGCTGCATGACTCCGAGGGTTGGAAGGCTGTGTAGAATATTGATGGACCGCCTAAGCTTAAAAATTTCTTGTGGAGGGCGTGCTCTGTGTCTCTGGCTTCAGTTGATAGACTTGCTATGCGCCATGTCCGGAATGATGGTGTTTGCCCTCTTTGTAGACGTGAGGATGAAAGTATAATTCATGCTATCTTTGATTGCCCCAATGTTAAAGGAATTTGGGACTGCTCGCCTTTCGCTAATTTGTTGCTTGATGCGCCTGTCTCTTCCTATTTGCTGCGCTTTGTGTGGGTTAAATCGAAGGTTAGTTCTGACGAATTTTTATTGTTTGCCTCGCTTTCTTGGGCTGCTTGGGCGTATAGAAACCTCTATACATCTTTGAGGAACCGTGGAAAAATCGGGATATTGGGGCTATGGGTTTTGTTCGTTTGGTTCGTGACTACAAGAAATACTCTTGTTTGGTGGGCAATACGGTGCGTGCTGGGGGTTCGCCCTCCCGTTCTGTTTGGGCTCTTCCGGCTGAGGGACGTATCCGTATCAATTCCGATGCTGCTATGCTCCCTGGTGAGGTTGCAGGGCTGGGATCTGTGCTGCGTGATGAGACGGGTAAGATTGTAGCTGTGGGTGTGTGTAGAATGGCTGGTGTTGTGGATGTGCAACTGGCTGAATCTTTTGCTGTCAGGATGGGATTGTTTATTGCCCGTAAGCTTGAGCTGAAGTTGATCGAGGTCGAGTGTGATGCTCTATCTGTTGTGAATGCGATCAACTCGAATAATGTGGGTTTTGGCCCTTTGGATCTGCTGTATGATGATATTCGTTATCTTAGTAAATTGTTTGATTTCTTTTCTTGTAATCATGTGAAAAGGGGGGGAAATTGTGTGGCTCATTTGGCTGCTAGGCTAGAGGTTGATGTTGGTGTTGAACTGCTGTATGTTGACTCTTTTCCGCAAGGTATTTCTACCTTGGCGGAGCTTGATCTTCTTTAAATTCTAATCCGTGCTTGCTGAGCGCTTTCTTTCAAAAAAAAAGGAGGTTTATTGTACAATTATTTTTAAAATCATAATGTATAGAGTATATTTATTCGGTTAAATTTAAATTGCAATAATAATATGACTTTGAATTTTGTACTTCTCTTAAAATTGGGGGAAATTTTCAAATTAAATTACATATTCTTGTTAATTATTTCACGAATTGAAATTTTTCCCAATTTTAAGTGGAGTTCAATATAAGAGAATGAAAAAATGAGAGAGAAAGAAAGAAAAAGAGGGAAATAGGGTGGGAAAGTAGTTAGTGGGCCTCGTATGACGTCACACTTCACTTCATAGCCTATTTTATTTCCTTTTAATTTTTTGATTCAGAATTTTCATAACGATCTTATTTTTGAAATATAGTAACTCTATTTTTTTATTTTTTTTATTTTTTTTACTTTTCTATTAGTTACATCTCTCCACCTGGCCGCATGATCCCCGTATTAACCTTTTTTTTCCGGCTATTTCACCAAATCCCACTGAGTACTTTAAAAAATCACCAAATGTCATCGGATTTTTCAAAATTCACCAAATGTCACGGACAAACAATATATTGTCATGGCGTGCCATTAATGAGCTATGGCCGTTAGATATCTGTTATTGTAATTTTTAATTCACCAAATGCCACCGACTACTTTTGATTTTTCATGATATGCCATTACTTATACTTCCTCCATTATTTTTTTATTGCACCATGATTTCACACTTCCCAATACGTTATTTTAGCTATTAATTATCTTCAATTTTACCTTTGTAAAAATTATAAAAAATTGATATTTGAAAGTAAATTTCGAGACGTATCTAATGAGATCCCACATGACTATGTTTTTCCTATTGGATAAATCACAAATGATGGTCAAAGAAGATTAGGTGAATAGTGTAAAAGTCCTTATGGTGCAGTAAAAGAAAAACTGAGGAAGTTTAAATTATTACACAATATACCTCAGACCTAATGAGTTATAACGGCTAGTTAATTTCACCTTTTTTGATTTTTTTAAAGGGTAAACTAGCCGTTATACCCAATTTGTTGTGTAAATTTGATACTTAGAGCACACATATTAAGTAGCCCTCTATTTGCATAATCATGAGTATTGCCCGCTACAAAAACTCTTTTGTGACGAATTTAATTGTGCCCATTACAATTGAGGTTTTTTCTACTAGTACACCAACAAAAATTCTCAATTCTGTTTTTAAATTAGGTGTACAGATGTGTGTAGCGGTTGTGACCATAATGTTGAAGTGAACTATTGTAATTGCAATTAAATTGAATAAAGTGGGAAATTGAACATTCATTTAAGCATAATTGCTTACTGTTTAAATCATGTGCTGGAAAAATTGTTTTCCCATTTACATCAAAATGCCCAAAATATAACAGAGAATTTGTCCATAAAAAATATACCAAAAAATATACCACACTGTTTTTTGGGGATTTTGTGTTCAAACAAGGGTCACAAAGACAGCAAACAAAATTAACGGAAAATTCTTTGAGGCGTGAATGGGATCACTTTCCCAAAAGTAATTTCGACCCTATACTGTACAACCGAGTATCACGGACTCAGGAGATACAACAAAGGCCAATTGCAAACAAGTAGGATGATTACAAAAATGTAAATAAGCTTTGTGATTGGTGATGATAATTCCTTTAAAGAAACCTTGTAAACAAGAGAACGAAAAAAATAGAGAAGTTACTATTTTATCTTTCATTCTCCAACTCCCATCATATATATAGTATATAATTATAGAGCAAAACCCATCAACTTAACCGTCAAAATCAAGCAGCGTTAAACCCAGAAATTAGAGCTGATCAAAACTAGCTCGGCTTGATTTTGGGCAGGTTTTGGGAAGCATTTTCTGGCTTGAAATTGGGTTGGGCCCGACCCAAATTATATATATTTTTTGGTCGAGCTTGGGAACGCTTTTTTATGTTGGGGATCAGAACTTTCTTTATTAAAGGCAATCTTTATCCATTAAAAAAAAAAAAAAATAATTTGAAGTTAAAAGATAAAAAATTTCCTTATTTTAACCCATCAAAATTAAGGCACTGCTTTAACAATTCTTGTAGTGCAAGAATAATAAATCAAAGAATAATAAATCACCTCTATAAATATAAGGTTTAAACTCATATTTTCTTATGTCGTCAAAACCTAATCTAGCCAAAAAAAAAAAAAAAAAAAAAAAAAAAAAAAAAATTATTTACGTGAGTCAAACGAGTAGCTTCATCGAAAACCGATACTCATGAGATTCGTGTCTCTCTTCTCTTTCGCCATTGGCGTGAGATCTGCCTAAGTAATCCAGAGTGCCTTGCTCAAGAAGACCGCTACATCTTGTGGAAGGAGCCATTTAGCAACAAAATTTTCGAGGTAGCTTTTGTCATTAAACCCGAAAATCCTAATATGGTTGAATGCTACATGACTAATGCCCTAAGAACTTGTAAGAAGAATCTGCCTATTTACGTGAGTCCCGGTGTTTTGAGTTTTGTAATTGCAAAGGTTTCGCAATGCCTCCGAGAGAATGTCGTCTTTGATAAAGATCTTCAAGGGTTCCGGTTCGAGTTGGCGGGTGTTGTTGATGTATCTACCGTACTCGATGTTGGTCGTGATATATATGACGAGGGAATGGTGAATATGATAGCTGTCTAGGTCTTTAGGGGTTTAGTTAAGAAATAAGTAAAATTTAATTAATTAAAACCTAGTACTTGTTAATTTGCTATTATTCTTGTATGTTGTTGCAAATGTTAAAGATGATTTCAAGTTTATAAATTCGATTATTTTTTTAATTACACAAATTATTATATATGTTGCATTTTTGTACCCATTAATAATCGATATTAACTTATTAAGTTTTGTAACTTAATTGACATGTGAGTTAGTTACTCTATTTTCATTATTGTCTTCATCGTTTGTAACTTTGCAAATTGAGATTCTTATTTTTGAGTATTATATCTTTGATTTAAATCAAAATATTGTTATATTGCATATCATATACGTAGTACATACAATAAAATAGAGTGGTGGTGAAGCATTTAATTAACAAAAGTTTAATACTCCATTTATGGTCTAATTACTTTAAGTTTCAACAAAAAAAAAAAGTAATTTTTAACATCATATTATTTGTCTTCGATCATTTTTTTTTTTTTTTGAGAACTCGATCAATATTATATTCTACAGAGTATATTGTTTAAAATAAAACATCTGATCTCTAGCTACTCTAACAAATACAGAGTACTTATTTTTTTGTTGATATATTTTGGTGATAATTCTTGGACATAATCCTTTCTTAACTAAGGCAAGTTTCTTTGAAAAACTAAGGAAAGTTCATTATTACATTGTATTTTATCCTCAGTATCATTTATTTCCTTATCTAGGTATTAAGCAAATAAGCAAGAGGGAAAGTTACTGATATTTTTTTGTTGATATTTTTCTACTGTATTAAGAAAATAAGCAAGATAGAATGATATATTGCATCAATAATTAGGCAAGCCTTTTTATTTGTTGCACCAAGTGCCCATGTCATCAATCATACGATGCATATGACTCAAAGAGGGTAATAAACAAACCGTTCTTAATATATATATATATGATCAAGAATAATGATACGGATTTATGTTTATCATTCTTGCATTGTTTGTAGGAACAAATGTAGTACTTGTGCTTATATAATGTAAAAGCTGTATTTTTCTTTATCAATTTGATTATTATTTTTTAATAAATATGGAGTTCTGTTATCATTATTCTTGTTTGTAAGAACAAAATTTAGTACTTGTGATATATTAATGTTCATAGTCTTCATACTGTATTTTTTTTTTTTTATCAATTTGACTTTTTTTTTATAATAAATATTGCAATGTTTATATATATTTATTGCATTAATCACTTTATTAACTTGATACTTCCTCCGTTTCATATTATTAGTCTTATAATCTTTTGACTATTAAAGATGAGAGGTAAATATAGTTATATTATATCTAGTTTAACTTGTGGTAGGTGTTAGTGAGTATATTATAAACGTTTTATTTTATTATTTTCTCTAGTGTGAAATTAAAAATATTTGCGACCAACGGTACAATTTCTGTAAATATACCTATTGATGATCAAGATGGGCTTGTCCTAGTCGGGTTTTAGACATAAAATCAGATTTGAAATCATGCTTGGCTTTAGGGCCGTCAAACGGGTTGTGTCGTGTCGGTTTCATGATCATGTCAACATTAAATGGGTTGATAAAGCTCTGACCCAAACCTAACTCATTTATTAAACAAGTTAAAATGCCTTGATTCAAATCTAACCCGTTTATTAAATATTTAAATGGGTTAGTCTTGTAACCTTTTACCTACTTACTTTATTAATTCCATACAATACATTATATAGTTTAGTACTTAATAAACTAAGTAATATTCATATTTAAAATTAATAAAAAGAGTAATTAAGAATTAAGGGTGGGTGGCTAAGGGTAAGTCAAAACTATATAAGACTTTAAAGTGAAAGAGTAGTAAGATTTGTCCGCCTAAATAAAAAATTTTGTCCCCCTACAAGTATTTACGTACTAGAGTTTTTATACTAACAAATTATGTAGTTAGAAGGGTTAGTAAGATTGACATAAAAAAATTCAATTATTTTGACTACTTCAATAGACAAGTTAAGAATGTTGAATTCAAGTTAACAAATTGACGTTCAACCCATTAATATAATCGGGTTATACGTGTCGGTTTCGGGTCGCAATTTCTATCTTACTCCCAGAGTACCGTGCACATGGTAGTCCAGATTTTATAAATTCATGTTATTTTGATATTAACTTCTTATTATTTCAATTTATATATATGTTATTTTTAAATAAATGTATGTTATTTTTCCTTTTTTCTCAGTCATCTTCCTCCCATACTCTCTCTTCCTCTCTCAGCTACTCCAACTCAAAATCACACACATTCTCTTCCCTTCTTCATCCAATTTCCTGGGTTTCCCAAA